TAGAGACCTGCAGTTTTCACCATTGGAAAGAGCGATGTTGGGAGTATCGGTCGATATAAAATCCATTAGATTTAGAGAGTTTTTTCATGGAAAATTTTGGATTGACATTTTGTTCGCTGCCTTTTTTCATCATTTTTCCGAGGAACTTCAATCCGAATTATACCAAAATGTAGCCTCAGACACCATATATTCCTATAAAAATTATCATGTTCTCGAGAAGCCTCATCAAAGGAAAACGTTAAAAAGATAATAAAAAGTTGTGAAAATTTTAGCCTGAACACGAGGTACTCAGGGCCATATTTTGATATAATTTGGGTTGAAATTCCTCTGAAAAATGATGAAAAAAGGCAGCGAACAAAGTGTCAATCCAAAATTTTCCATGAAAAAACTCTCTGAATCTAACGAATTTTATATCGATCGATACTCCCGACATCGCTCTTTCCAGTGGTGAAAACCGCAGATCTCTAACGGCTTCCGTTCTCGATAATTTGTTCTAGAATTTTTCCCATCTATTTCTGGTGCCGATAATACTTACTTTCCTTCTTACTTGTAAGAACATAATCTAATAGATCTTATTGGAGTTGTCTATCATACTAAACGTTATTTAGAATGATTTACAGAATTCTCTGTTGCCACTGGTAGAACAGTTAGAATCATCAATAGATTAAAAAGTACATTACTGTTATTTAGTTACAGCTTCAACAATCAAAGAATATGAGAAAAGCTGCATTGCAAAAAGTTTTGGATAAATTATGTAACTCTGTTTGTCTTTCAGCAAAACTTATCTAGCCATAATCAATCTGATTTCAAAATAATGAAAAAGTTCTCATTCAAATGAAATATCCTTGATAAACATCTATTCAATTTATATTAATATTGTTCCGTTAATCAATCCATTTTTGTTGTAGAGCCGCGTCAACCTAAAGGAAGTGTTAATATCCTTTGGGATATCGAAAATTTGGCCGTTCCTGCTGGGCGAAGTGCCTTTAGTATTGTAATGAAGCTACGGCAACGGTTAATAACAGAACGAAACATGGCCGAAGGTAGTTTCGCAGTCTTCTGTGACGTCACAAAACTACCGAAAAAGCATCAAGAAGATCTCCATCATGCTAATGTAGATATTCAGCATGTGCCGAATTGCAAGAGTGTGATAACCGACAAAGCCATTTACAAGGCTATACAATTATTCAAAGAGCAGCAGAGGACACCTGCCACATTAGTACTTCTTAGTGGAGACATCGATTTCATTCGATGCATAAGTGAACTTCGGTTCAACCAAAAACATTATGTCATTATTGCTTATAATGCACAAGCGAACACCAAACTCTTAGAGACAGCTAATGAAACTATTCCTTGGAGCGAATTCACTGATGAACCTAGAGTAAATACTCCCAAGAAGAGAGATCCGCCGAAACCTAATCCAAATCAAATGGTTTTGGCTCCAGAAAAAGTTGACACTGATAAACCTAGAGTGAATACTCCGAAGAAGAGAGATCCACCGAAACCCAATCTAAGTCAAATGTTTTCGGTTGCACAAACAGCTAATGATGCTGCATCAAGAATACCCTCACCTGGTGTTCTTCTCACAGCTTTTAGTCAACAATATGTCGCACAAACAAACAATGAGGATTCCAAAAGGATTAATCCTGTGCCGACTGATATACTTCGCACAAGAGTGAAGCGCAACAAAGAAAGATTATGTGACCAAAATCCGAAGATGTAAGTATTTCTTTTAAATATATAGTGTCGCTGAATATGTGTTGAACTTTTTGAAAGAAAATTTCAAATTCCAAAGCATTATTTATAGAACGAATAGAACTGAGTCTCATTGTACGATACCATATGATTGAGCTGTACATGTTTGGCAATCTGTTATGGAGAGCAAGAATTCCAATCACGCTGCTTAGTATTTTTAAATATCTTTATCCCGCTACAAGTGAATGATCGTGATATAAATTCAAAAGCATACTACTTAAAAACTTTTGAAGATAGTTGAATTCCAAAGATTTGCTATTTTGAATGAAGAAAGTTTGCTCATTTCATTAGACCATACTTCCGAGATTCTTGGAAATCTTCGATTGCTAATGAAAACAATCAAAATCTCGTTATACCTAAGGTTTGTACCTGTGAATGTGTCTTTCAATACTATACATTGGTCAACTATAAAAGAAATACGAGATTAAAAGTTAACTGAGCGGATAAAAGTACAATACAAAAGCTTTTTACATTCAAGATCCTTTTGAACAAAGCTACTGACAGGTAGCCAGTGACACAACGAATGAAATCACTGTTTCTATAAACCCTTTTATGTGTTCTGGTTGCCTTTTTCTATGAAAAAGAATATAGAAAAATTGAATTTTCAGCTTTGCAAAAATATTATTCGCCGAAATTCGTAATTGTTCAAACAATTTATTCGGAAAAGAAAATTACCTGAAAATTTAATACAGAAATTCAAAGCATTTCTTT